TTGGTGATCGCAGGGAGCGTGTACAAACACAAGGATATGCACTAGGCAACATGGATTTCATCTGACGGACACACCACAAACCAAATAGGTTTCATATCAATCTCAAGGAAGTGGAGTCACAGTTAGCCTGCTGGATACAAAGTCGAGAAGGGGAGCATATGTGGGCTCAGACCATCACCTAGTTCAAGGGACCTTCAAGGTGAAGCTGAAATCCTTCAAAACAGATGGAGACAGGCCACAATTCAAGTTCAACATTCAGAAACTGAAAAATGAAACTACTAAAGGTACCCGTGCTCGGCCATCGCTCGAGTGGAATCCCAACGGGAAGCGAAGAGCTTATCATCGCTTCGAGGATGACATGAAGGAGATCGTGTGGCGAGGAAGAGATGAGAGATTATGGGCAATCGTGGATCCAGCTGAGCTGAAGAGAACATTAGAAAATAGAACAAAGTGAAGATGTGTTGTTGAAGCCCTATGTACCGAAATTATGTACTCTTCATCTTCAACGCAACATTTGCACTCATCTTCCGTGTTGTGCTACTTCTCACCTTCATATTTCGCGTCTCTCATATATCTCCTTAACTCTATATCATTTGCTTTCTCTGACATCAAATCTATCCCCCTGCTATCTGATGTTTTTACACCGATGAATATCTCTTTATATATACACTACTGATAAATCTTATCAGTAGCAAATGCCACGATGGGATGAAGTTGCTAGCTTTACGCTCAGCCTTCCCTCCTTACCTGGTTTGCTACCGATAGGATAAGCAAGGTTTAGGAGTGATGGCGTTGGGCATCAAACCACGGACCATGTGAGGTGTGTTCGGCGAGCATTCTACCTCTGAAACGTTGACGCCAGGAGCAAGTATTAGTGTCTAAATAGTAACATACTGTCAACTACATAATAATAACTAATCAGTATAAGTAAGCAGTCTGTTGCATAGTTCAGTGTGTTTCATCATCACACAGTATTCGAATTTCAAATATATTTGAGGATGAAACTTTCATTTTGTTTAAATGGGAGTACAAAAACAGTTTATTCCAAGTAAGTTCATTTAAAATGGATGCAAATTCACTTGTTTTTCGTGATCTAAGATTTCAATAAACACATAAATACACAATCAATGTTGATTGATTCATTTCCAGGGCATTATTTCAACACTCACATGCTTTAATCATATACCGAAGTATTCTATGAATTCGTCTTTTGTTCTACTCCCCTATGTAAATATTTGCTTATACGTGTGATATATGGTTGAATCCTTTGTCGGTAATCATTTAAATAATTTTCAAACACGTAGCTTTATTTTAGTGAGCAAATTGACAGATCAATCACAATCTAACTATGCACATTAGTTTGGTATGTCATTAATATTATTACTACTGTAATGACAGAAGACAAGCGCCAGGCAACAGATTGTTTATTGAGAAAATCAACAGATATTTATAGATTTTTATGTACATTATTTTTAGTGTTACTGTCAGTGGAGAAGCAGCGTCTTCTGATTGGTTGTTTTCTTACTGAACGTTATTCTGTGCTGCTTGTAACCATTTCTCAGAAAGTTAAGCCATATATTTACAAATCGTATTTGCACACGCCTAGTCTGCTATGATTGGTTGTTGAGTTCCTCAAGGTTAAGCTTTGTTATTATTTTGTTTTTCTCATGACCCTGATTCCAGACCTAACACTGACGTAAATTGTTGTTTACAATTTTAACATTTTTGCAGCCAGCTCTCACCACACTACCATTATTATTATTATTAATTGAGTTAATAATATACACAAATGACTTTCTACTATTCTATATATCTAATACTGTCACATAGAGGTGATGATTGGAGCCGAATTCTACGACATGTTATATCATCTCATTTTAAACACTGACAGTTTATAGACTACCCTATCTAAAGCCACATATCAAGTGATTTAAATTAATTATTGAAGTTTATCGTGGCTTGAGTGAATGAGTTACTCTGGAGGGTGATTATTATTATTCCTTTGAGTTCTTGTCTTGTTCTATGAAATCCTGCTTAACTGGCTCCATGATTGCCCATTATTATTATTATTCCCTTGAAATCCTAGTGGAATATAGGGCTTCAACTACAAGTCTGCACTTGCTTCTGTCTTCTGCTGTACTTTCCACCTGCGTCCATGTTAATCCATGCTGTTCCAACTCATCTTCACACGATCTCCTCCATGTCACCCTTGGATGTCCCACTCGCCGCTTCCCTTTTGGGTTCCACTCGAGCGTTGGCCCGACGCGCGATGTCACCCAGTGGCCTCCTCAGTGAGTGTCCAATCCATCTCCACTTTCTCCTGAATATTTGTTGGGCGATTGGTTCTTGTTTTGTTTGTTCCCATAGTTTCGTGTTGGTGATTCTTTCCGGCCGGCCATCTGATCTTCAGTATAGAACGAAGACAGTTGTAGATGATTGACCATAGGCTCTCATATCTTCTTCACCCGGTTTCCTCCATATCACCCAACTCGTCTTATCCCATTCGAGTTCCAGTGATTGTGTCCTATCCATCTCCATTTTTATTCAACATATTTGTCAAGCAGTAGGTTCTTCGTTGGTTGATTCCCAGAGTTTGTTGTTTCTAATTCTTTTCCGCTAACCGTCTGATCTTTAAAAGGGAGCCAGCGAAGGCCTGATGGAAAAGATTTACGTGACGTGGGCATAGTGGAAGATTCTGACCTATATAGAAAAAGTGACTAAATTGGCTTAACACTGGTGTTGAAAATCCGAATTTTGTTGTTTACGCTAGCTGTGTGCAGAATATTCTTACGCTTATTTCAGAATGCCTTTACGATTCCGACTGGTTTTGAAGTCCTTATCCGTGAGGCGTGCCTGTATTTGAAACGATAGTTCCTGGCCAGATAAGTGAAGGCAGTGATCTTTTTCGAATTTCTCCCGTTGATAGTGATTGGCGCTTTTTCTTGTTGTTGGTCGGTTACCTTCATCACCTGCGTCTTCTCTATGTTCTCCTGGAGTCCTGTCTTCGTTGTCAGCTTCTTCTGCCAGTCTGTTGGTTCTCGCCTGTAAGTCTTTGGATTTATGTGACAGTAGACAAAACTCATCCGCGAAATCTAGATCTTCGACAGTCTTCCTATCGGTCCAACGTAGCCCTGTCTTCTCGCTCCCCATGTGTGGTGTTCTGAAAATTCCAGTCCACCACAATGAAGAAAACAATTATGCACTCATTGTCGCTCCGTGACAATTTCCAGTCCATCGACTGCATTCAAGATCTGAATGTATCTGACAAAATTATGCTGTCCTTCGACATTGAGTCATTTTTCACCAATGTCCCACTCACGGAAACTGTCTGCTTTATATGTAAATATATGGATGAGAACCATCTCAATGTTGGAGTACCAGCGGCATATATGAAGGAACTACTGCTGAGATGCACTCTGAACGTACAGCTCACTTTTAAGACATCAAAATAAAATTTCAAAAAATAATAAAAAGTACCATTTACTTAGTGTTCCTGAGTAAGTTGGTTGCGTCACACTTCCACTTTTCTCACCACATAAAATCTGTGCCAAATAAGATATATTGTAGAGTTTTAGTGTCCTTCGCAGTGTAATAAAATCTTTCTTAAGTAACCCAGTAAAGATTCACTATGGAGGAGCAGTAGAGAAGAATAGGTAGAATACATGAATTAACAAACTGTGAAGGTAGGGATCGACTGAGTGATGATACCCTATTGTCTTAACTTCCTCACATAGTAGAAGGTCAGACGAGACTAACGTGATGAGGGAAGACCAGGTAAGATCAGAAGTTATACCCAATCCAAGATTTTTAACATTTAACTTAGTTTCAATTTCGGCGCCATCTATGATAGTAGCATCACGCAAACGAAGCACTTTATGTTTTGTATTCTTCAGAAGAATGTGTGTGTTGAAGATATTCCTGGCTATGGAGGCAGTTTACAGATCCAAGTCTATTCCGTTTACTTTCAGAAAAGGATTATTTCAATGAAACTACTGAATGTTCACCTAGGAAGGTTGAATAGATACATATATATTTTTTCCAATGGTTCTCTACCCGATGTCAGCTCATGGTGAAATCTTCTAACCAATCAAATATGTAATCTCTACAAACCAATAATTTAAAAATTGATCCGATGCTCTCTAGCGACTGGCCGTATTTGGGGAGGTAGTTACCGAGGGTCCTAGTGGGAAGCCGTGACCAGCAGGGTACAACAGATTGAGGGTGAGGCAGTAACTCATCAAAGAAGACATTGCCTATTGGTCGCGCTATGTCATGAATTGGCAGAATTTGGAATTCATGTGCTGGCCATTACATTGGGTCCCAGTGGCTTAATGGTCTACGAGTTCGCTGGCCTTGTAACCCGAAGGTCGTGGACTGAAATCCTGTCTGTGGGTACGCACTGATGAAGAGTCCCAAGCTACAGCGGAGGAAACAGCTGGCTGTCCAGTATTCCCAGCTGGTGGTTTTCCTATGGTTCTCTAACTGATGTCAGCTCATGAAGAAATCCTCCAACCAATCAAATATACATGTATATGTAACAATTTGTAAAACAGATTATGTGTTTACGAGTTGATCATGGATGAAACAGCAGCTGTCCAGTACTCCCTGGTTTTCAATGGTTCTCTAACTGGTATCAATCCGTGATCAACTCGTAAAAACATAACTAACCCTTACAAATCAAACTATAGAAAAACAGATGATAAATATTCTTTATGAATAACCAATGCACTCTGATACGCATATCATATTTCTTCTATCTCATTTTCTACCTTTTCAATTACATAATTTCTTATACATTATAATTATATGGAATATGATAAGGTCCATTCAGTAATTATCAAGTCAATTTGTATATATATATATATACATAAATTCTTAGATAGCAAAGTTTATAGTTCTTGGTGTATATTTGTTTTTCATTCTGAAAGAAAGAAAGCAAAAAACACAAGCAACCACAATAAAATTAAAACTGAATGTCATTCGAAGGCATATTCTATATCCAACTGTTTATATTTATCTATTTACATACATTTATGCTTTATGGCGTTGAATGTCAATTTCCAGCTGTCTGTGCAAAGAATTTGACTAGCCGTCTACCAGCTGTGTGTTGTCCAGCACCACCGAGTAAGTCTTTCATTTGAAGTGTTAAGCTATTTCGAGTGATATTCAAGTATGTACAAACTGTTTAATGCATTAGGAGCTAAGTTTGGTTGGGGACTTATTTGTTTTATGCTAGAAGATTCTAAAGTACGGTCGATAAGGAGCTTTAAGTGGCTGCTTTTCATACTTATTGTCACTTTCTAGTAAAATTTGTCCCCAAAAATTAAGGAAATTCATATTTCTACATCTGACTGATAGAATTCACTATGCACCAAAGATAGGACTAGATATATTACACTAATTACTGACTAGTGTCCAGGCAAAAGGAAAAAATCTGATACAATGCCAAAGAAGGTCAGTTGCGAGCCCGAATAGCTCAGTGGCTGACGCGAGTTCGAATCTCAGAACGGAGATAAGTTTCTTCAAGTTTGCAGATACGCCTTGCTGATGAGTGCCAACTAGCACGAAACCTAGATCAGGTAGGGATTCCTGCCGATTGCCTCCAGCCATATAATTTATTATTGTTTCTTTTAGTTCCTAGAGGAACATAGGGCTTCAGCCGCACGTCTCCATTGCATTCGGTTCTCTGTCAACGTTTTCACCCGGCTCCACGTCTGACCACATGCTTTCATCTCCTCTTTACATCACCTCCTCCTCCATGTCACCCTCGCACTGACAAGCAACTCGCCACTTCATATTAGGGTTCCACTCGAGCAATGGCCTGGCGTGTGATGTTACTCACTCGATGGTTTGTTTTCTCAGAATATGGCCAATCCACTTCCTCCATTTCTTTCTGCATGCATATTTGTTGCACAATTGGTTCCTGCTGGGTTGGTTCGCTCATTGCCAGAGATCACTGTTGCTGATCTTTTCTGACCGGCCATCTGATCTTGAGTAGTATTGAGCGAAGAGAGCTGTTGATGAAGGTCTGAAATTTGTTCGAAGTGCCTTTTCTTGACGCGCCAATTCTCTCATCCGTATAGTAGCTCTGACTTCACATTGAAGTTGAAAATCCACATTTTATTTGCATTTTCATGCTGAGTGCTGTTGACCTCCACACAAACTTCAGAGTAGTGAATACAAGTGGGCTGGAGGGTGAGAAAAAACACAAAAATAATCACTCACATTAAAGCTTATCAGAAGAGATGACTTAAAATCTAATTTCAATTCGAAGTATGTATCGAAGATGTCTAGAGAGATAATGAAACCTTTGCAAATAACTGTCCAGCTCAGAGAACACAAATACTGGAAAATAGGACTTATAGTAAGTAGAACATTTAGGTGAATTATTCAGCCCAGAAGGATCAAAATAGGCAAGTGCATCAGGAAGAACCTTTATCCTAAGTCGCATCATTCTGAAGAGATGCGATAGATTCAGAAATCCGACTAGAAACAGCTCGATTTGGAAAAGCAAATCATGCGCGAAATCGAATGCCAACTATACGCGTCATCATCATCATCACCGTCGACCAGAGCATTAAATGGCACTCCAATCTCTACCTCAACTCTATTGACTTTGAAAAAGTAATTTTTAAAATCCTTCAAAACTATGCAGTGACCAAAATCTTTTTCAACCTCATTCAACAGATATATGAAAATACCAAGTGTCAAGTGATCCACAACGGAAAACTCAAAGAAGCATTTCAAATGAAGACAGGAGTAAGACATTCCTGCTCACTATTATCACCAAGGTCATTCCTAATTGCAGTAGACTTGACTAAGCAGAAGACTGTGCTTGGCGATCGAGAAAACAGGAATAACCTGGACTGAAATGAAGACTGTAGAAGATATGGATTCCGCGGGTGACTCAGGTCTAGCAGACACATGCGGATAACAGAATTGCCTAAACTCCCTTTTCGAACTTATTCCGAGTACAACTTGTATGCTTAAGAAAAATAAGGTTATCAACACGCTCTAATTTCACTGAATTAAATGGGCATACTTATAAGTACTCAAATCATTTGACACGCACAAAGGTACAGTATTGTTTACTCAATGAAGTCTCATCAAAATCGATTACTTATAACCATCTTATTGATGCATACAAACCATTTGAATTTCGGATTTCTTCTCATACTTTAATTTTTCTCGGCACGCTTTTAAGTCATTAGTATTTTAAGCATTACTTGTGGATTAGATGAATAAGGACTTCAAAACAATCTCTCTTTTGATATTATACTCTCCTGCCCTACTACATATGACAGTAGTGTGTATCACAAGTGTGTACACGCAATAATGCTTCAAATTGTTCACACACAAGAATTAGCCTTATTGGTGTCCGCCATTTTGAATTTATTTCAGTTTCAATGGTGCAGTCAAGTGACTAATATAAGATTGAATTTTATGATCTATGTTATTGATATCAACAATTTTGTAGTATTCCATAGACATATTTGTTACAACGGAGTATTACTGTTGCTATTGTCTGTTGCATGGCTTGACTAATTTGCACCTCCAAACACAACACTATGACCAGGTGATCACTTGAAAATATTCCTCAGGCTGAGATAGACGTATATGTTGGATTTAAATGTGACAACAGCAGCAACAACAACAACGAGAATAAGAACCTTTTTATTGTTCAAAATACTGGGTATATCTGTCATTTTCGCATTCACGGAAATTTAAACAATAGATAAACGATCAATATCAATGCCTGGGAAGCATCGTTTCAACTACAGGCGAACGGAACTGAAGAGGATATCAAAGCAAGAATCGGGAAAGCAAGACAAGCTTTCACTACTCTCAAGTCTGTGTGGAGGTCAACGGCACTCAGCATGAAAAATAAGATCCGAATTTTCAACTCCAATGTGAAGTCAGTCAGTGCTACTATACGGATCAGAGACTTGGCACCGCGTCATGAAGACCACCTCAAACAAACTACAGACCTTCATTAACAGTTGTCTTTGCTCAATACTCGAGATCAGATGGCCAGAAAAGATCAGCAACAGAGATCTCTGGCAATGAGCGAACCAACCAGGAACCGATTGTGAAACAAATAGGCAGGAAGAAATTGAGGTGGATTGGATTGGCCATACTCTGAGGAAACCATCAAGTGACATCACTAGACAAGCCATTGCTCGAGTGGAACCCAAAAGGGAAGCGGCGAGTTGGTCGTCAGTGCAAGGGTGACTTGGAGGAGGTCATGTGAAGAGGAGATGAAAGCATGTGGGCAGACTTGGAGCCAGCTGAAGACTCTAGCAGAGAATCGAACAAAAATGGAGACGCGCGGCTGAAGCCCTATGTTCCTCTAGGAATTAAAGGAAACAATAATAATAATAATCTGACTGACTGCATGCATGACCTTGAGGGCCGTTCAGAAATAAATCCATCAAAAAAATTTCCAACCAGATTATTATACCAGTATGTACATCAAGCATGAGTTCAGAGCTAACAACGATAGGTTATCCGTCCTGACATCTTCCCTTTTTATAATAACCTCTCAGTCTAGGCTCTACATGAATAAACTTCACAAGTCTGAGTAAACTTTGCGATCTTTGTAGTACCAGTGACTGTGGTTCACTTGGTTTTTGCATGGTTGCTTTTCTGCACAAAGTGTACATTGATAAACTGTCTTGAAATCAGTTGCTGGTATCACCACAATCTTCTCGTTTCCTAATGTACTTTATATCATCTTGACTACAGAAGGCCTCTGATGTTCACTTTGTATGTCACTGTATCCTTTTCGCTTCGACTACTTTTAATGTCCATTTGGATGTATCAATTCAGAAATCATGAACCCATGCAGATTCAGCGACGGGGAAACGTCTGAGTTTTGTAACATAGCGTTGATTGTATTGTTCTTCCATCTTCGTGTTCCTTGACTCCTTCTTTTTAAGTCTTGGACGTAAATCAGTTAGAGAACCACTGGAATACCTGGGAGTACTGGACAGCTGTTACGACAGGCAGTAACTCGTCGAAGAAGACATTGCGAAGTGGTAGCGCTATGTCGTGAATTGACAGAAGTTGGAATTCAGGGACTGGCCATTGGATTGGGTCTCAGTGGCTTAATGGTTTACGATCTCAACTTGTAACCAGAAGGTCGTGGATTGGAACCTTGCTGGTGGGTGCGTACTGACGAAAAGTCCCAAACTAGGATGCGGGACAGTACTGGACACTCCATAGTTTTGAAGGATTTTAAAAATTACTTTTTCAAGGTCAGTAGAGTTGAGGTAGAGGTTGGAGCGCCATTTAATGCTCTGTTCGATGATGATGCGTTTAGTTGCCATTCGATTTCTCATATGATTTGCTTTTTCCAAATCGAGCTTTTTCTGGTCGGATTTCTGCATCCATTGCATCTCTCCAGAATGATGCAACTTAGCATTTCGCTTGACTGTGTCAAGAGCATGATTCCACATCAGTTTTTGCAGAAGCCTGTTTTCCCTCCCTTTGATAATTTTTTACAAGGTAACTTTTTTTCCAATCAGTAGGTACTTTTTCTTCCTTCCATACTTGAAGGAAATTAAATGTATATAGCTCATTTAAAATACTTTATCTTTGTGCAGGTAATTATGCTAATCTTTCAGATCTTCAGATAACATTTCCTCATAAATCAGTGCTCTTAGACAGACATTAGGATCTGTGTTGAAAACAAAGGTACTATCTCAGACAGTGAAATTATAACAAAGATCCATCAGCAACTTTGGATGAGATAAATATATCCTTTACGTACGTAATAGTCTTACTCGTGTTGATAAGTTTCGAAGGGGAATTCCGCTTCTACCTCTATATCTTGCTTTCATTTTAAATTACAGATACATCTCTTCCTTGTGGTGGTCCAGGAAGAGGCTTATGCCGAGAAATCAGTGCTTTTCCTGAAGATCTAGACTTAGCACAATTAGATAGTAAATTTCTGCAAGATGATCGTTTAGCCTGGCCAACTCGATTCTTTGAAGCAGCTTGTGCTTGTCAGGTAAATTCAAGCTCTTTCTGATAACTTGTATTTCATAAAGGTTTGTTGAAATTGAAAAAAAAACGCATTTTTTATTTTTGCATATTTATCGAAGTGGTAACTAAAAAATAATACCTGCATCGGTGGCACAGTGGTTAGGACTCTCGCCAACCATGCACATGGTCCGGGGTTCGATCCTCTGCCGACGCACACCTGATATCTATGGCCGGCCTGTAAAATTTGGGCTACCGATATCACATGGTGAAAATTCCATACTTGTACCAAAAATACTGTGTGGAATCAAGCTGTAATCAAATAAATAAATAAATAAATAATGAGAATAAAAATCAGTTGTGTGAGTTATGCTAGTGGTTAAAAACCTGTTTATTGCAAGCTGACTATATATAACAAACTAGCCATCAGCTCTTGAGTTGTAAAGACTGAAGATATAGTATAAACTCAAGGAAACCAAGCAGAATTTAGGCTAGAAAGAGGGTGTATTGATCACATATTCAGCCATCGACAGATCCTGGAACATAGGCATGCATACTGGCATTCAATAATTGCCATATTTCTTGATGTGAAGGCGAAATTCGACTCTGTCGATTGAGAGGTACTATGGAAATGTTTGGTAGTGTAGGGACTACCGAGAAAGTCTATCGCATTTATCAAGGCACTCTTCTTGAACTCGTGTAGGCGTGTAACAGCTTATGGCGAATTGTCCACTGAAGTGGTGACAAATAGTGGTGTGTGTCAGGAATGCCCATTTCCCCTATTTCTGTTTAATTTCATCATAGATAGAATGCGTAGACTTACAACAACACCAAATGACCAACGAAAAGAAATAAACGTCCTATCCAAAATGCTACTCGACAACAACTACCCTTAAGAATTTGCGAAAGATAATATAAAAAAGAGAAAAAAGAGAGTGAGAACGGAGAATGATAAGACGGAAGGATGCAAAAAAAACAGTCACAATACCATACAAAAATGGTTCATCAGAGGCAATTCGAAGAAACCTCAAAAATATCGGCATTCACACAACCTTTAAACCGACGAATCTAATCAAAAATGAAATAAATCAACTGAAAGATACCATAAAATTGATGAATTAAAACAATTTGATTTACAAAATATCTTGTGTCGAGTGTCCGACTCAATATGTGGGGTAAATGTCCAGATCACTCAAAATAAGAGTGGATGAACATAAATACCTGCCTAACTAAAGGTCAACCAACAGGAACACAAGCTTACAACAATTTCGAGAAAAGTCTCGTCTATAACTACACATGCAGCATGGGACACAAACCACAATATTGATTGGAACAATGTTTTTATTCTAAAAACTAATATGAACAGATGGAAAGACAGACTAGTAACGACGGTATCTGTATTCAGTAAGGTCACACCGGATAGATGTAGCAAGGATGACTCAGCACAACTTTCAGCGTCCTCACGAATTGGTAGAAGTTAGAATTCATGTGCTGGTCATTGAGGGAGTCGAGTCCCAGTGGCTGCGAATGGTCTGTCAGCTCGCCTTTTAACCGTGAGGTGGTGGATAGTTACTACTAATGAGTCCCGAACTAGGATGAAACATCTGTCCAATACTCCCTGCTAGTTCTCAGTGGTTCTCTAACTGATATCAGCGAATCCGTGGTCAAATTTGAAACAAATAAAATCTCCATGAACTAATTCTTGTAACAGAAAGGAACTACCTAGCCAGGATGCGTACTTTTGTATGATTTTGTGTTTGATGCCCGATAGGTGAATTACTCTGCATAGTAATGTGAATTGCAATGCAACAATGGAAAGTTTGGTTGCAAATAGTCTTTAAAATCTCCTCGTAATTTAATTTCATTCTATTATTGGTGTGGGTGTGTTCTCCTGGCTGTATAGTTTAACTAAGAAGCGGCACTTCTGTCTTGAGAAGAAGAGAAGAGAGACAGCGTGTAACAGAAAAAACTGATGTCAAAAAAGCTTCATCGAAAGACCAATACAAATTATCTTTCAAAACGAGATGAGAAATCTTCTACGAAGACGGTTTCCAGAATCATCGCTAGGATATTGAAACTCCACTCACAAACAGTCTCTTCACTACATTCCATGTACACCAAAAGATCTAACAGTGAAAGAAGACAAAACCAACATTCCTTGCAGTAGTACTATGTTTGAAATTCACTATTCGTTGTATAATTCCAATGCAAATGGAAGGATCAGCTATCGAATCTATCCACTCCAGCATTCATTTATAACTGCTGTTGTGGAGACAGCTATATAAGTACAAAGACTCGGCAAGCCCACCGTTTCCCTCTGACAGGGTTAAGAAAAAGAGTCGTAAAGTCAATCAGGAGTTCCACACCTTGAGTATATGGATCCAAAGAATGATGAAAATTCAGCCTTTACTATCCTATACAAAGTGGTATATGAATTCTCTGTACTTGTACACCTTCGATTGTTAAGCATAGCTAAGGCAGTTGTGATGAAAGTTTGTCAACCCAATCCATCCATTCAGAAAAGGCTTGTTCAATCCCTCCCTCTGCCACACCCAGTGGCCTTCACCCTAAACCGAGAATAGTTATCGATCCCAGTGACACCGGATAGCTGTAAATATTATTTTTTTTTATTTGCACTGTTAACCTTGGCCTCATCATCGATATCATGATGTACTTCTGTTGCATGTTTCAACCTTAGTTTCACAATTCATTATAAAACCAAACATTCTATTATCTAATTGCTATGAGACAAAAGTTTTTTCCCTTCTACCTCTACAAGTATACACATTCTACTTACATATTCACTACGATTGACTATCAAGATTATTTTCCAAGAATCAATCTGTAAGGACTTGAATTGTTTCAGTTTAGACCGTAGATTAATCGCAGTTAGAGAAGTGTTGAAAGTCAGGGAGCACTGGAGAGCCGTTTCATCCTAGTTTGGGACTCATCGGCAGTACCCACCCACTACCAGGGTTCGAACCCAGGACATTCCGGTTACAGCGCAAGCTCGTATACCATCCAGACACTGGGACCTTACTCCTCAATGGCCAGAACATGAATTATAATCTTTACTAATTCGTGATGAAATCAGCGCGACCATCGACCAATGTCGTCGGTGGCAAGTATTTGTCTTCACTCCCGATTGGTTGGATAGCTCTGGTCACTACTTCTCACCAGAACTTCAGGAAAATTCGCCCTGTACCCAGTCACCAGTGAGCAGCAGATTATTATTATCATTATTGTTCCTTTGGGTTCCTAGTGGAACATAGAGCTTCAACTGCATGCCTCCACTTGCATCTGTCTTCTGCTGTAATTTTCACCTGCATCCATGTTAATCCATACTGTTTCAACTCCTCTTCACACGATCTCCTCCATGTCACCCTTGGACGACCCACTCGCCACTTCCCTTTCAGGTACCACTCGAGCGATGGCCTGACGCGCGATGTCACCCAGCGGCCTCCTCAGCGCGTGTCCAATCCATCTCCACTTTCTCCTGCATATTTGTTGGGCGATTGGTTCTTGTTTTGTTTGTTTGTTCCCATAGTTTCTTGTTGGTGATTCTTTCTGGCCATTTGGTCTTCAGTATAGAGCGAAGACAGTTGTTGATAAAGGTCTGCAACAGGCTGTTGGAAATATTCATTGTGACCCGCCTACTTTCTGATCCGTATAGAAGAACTGACTGACTTGACGTTTGTATTGAAAATCTGAATTTCGTAGTTGATGTTGAGTGAGCAGCAGAATAATTTTTAAAAATGAGTTCGTAGGGATTCTATTTGTTTCAGGTGAACACATGGATTGATATCAATTAGAGAATCATTGAAAACCAGAAGTGACTACTGAACAACTGTTTCGTCCTTGTTTGAGACTCATCAGTAGTATGCACCTACTGGATTATATAATTACACTTGTATGAATTTATCCTTGTTATTAGTATTATGATCACCTCGATTATTATCCAGTTATTTACATGTCTGAACTTTAACTCTATTAACCGCATTGGTTTCAGATGTCCAAGAATTGTATTTTATTACATGTTTATAAAACCTGGTGAGAAATAACCGAAATTGCTTAATTTATGTTCTATGAAAAAAAAACCAACATCGTCTATAAAATATGCTGCCTGAATTGAGAAAATCACCATGGTGACCAAAGAGGACGTCCTGTTTATCTTTGTATCCATAAACGTAAATAGGCAGTTAGGAAACATAACATGAGTTCATTCACATCAGTTCACATGAATAACTACCGAAACTAGTTCAAATAGAGCGGTCCCAGTGGCTGAATGGTCTACGAGATTGTCTTGTAATCGGAAAGTCCTGGATTTGACCCCTAGTGGATGTGTACCTTTGAAGAGTCTCAAACTAGGACGAAATAGTTGTCCAGTACTCCTTGGTTTCAGCATCGGTGGCTTAGCGGTAGAATGCTCGTTAACCACACAGGTGGTCTGGGGTTTGATCCCCGGCCGACGCATTCCTAAACCTCGCTAAGTCAGTAATAAGACCGGGAAAGAGGAAAGGTTGGGCATGAGGCTAGTAACCTCACCCCGTAAAAGAAACACTACTGCTACCGAAACATTAAAGCTCTAGCCTGAAGCCCTTTGTTCCACTTGAAACGTACAGTAATGGAATATAAAAAGGGGCGATGTAAAGACCTTAGATAGACAGTTAAGACAAAGTACATCAGTGTGATACTGAAATAAATTTGCAATTCATAAACATGTGGATCTGAATCTAACCTGTCCATCGATAAAATCAGCTCACACAAGTTAATGGTAAAATATTAGGTTAACAGGGGGTGGTTCAGCAATAAGAATGCTGGCCAACCATGCGTGTAGCCCAGGATTCGAGTCCCGGCCGTTGCACACCTTTACTTCCCTTAGTCGATTGTAAGCCCAATAAATCGAGAAAATAAAGCGTGAGTCTAGCAACTAGAAATGGAAGAAAAAAGAAAGCCAGCAACAGTACAACTGTATACAATCATATGGAAACCTGGGAGAACAACCATTCACAGGGGTTACAGGAAGTG